ACTTTATCCAACCAATATTTTACTGTCTAATTAATCTTTTTAAATCTCTGTAGAAAATGAAAAAGAATTTTCTCACAACCCCCCTCTATATATATATCTGTTTCTATCTCGCTCATACCCAGTAATTTAATCTAAAAATTTACTCTTGTGGCCTGTGGCTAATTTTATGTGTTCAGTGTGGCCCTCCGATTTAAAAATTTTTTTAGGCCTTCTCTAAAGCAATAGTTTTCAGCCTTTCTGTGATATTGTTACCCCTACATGCCTATGCCATAGGTGCACAATGCCCGAATCAAAAATTTATTGACATAAGAACTACACTGTAATACTAAACAAAATGTAGCAAATGGGTCCAAAAACTCGGTGCCTTCAAAGTCAAAAGCATTTTTATTTCACCAAAATGTACAACAATTTGGTATTTCTTCTTATTACACTCTGTTGTAATTAGATCTCTTTCTGATTCATTCTTCATGCTGGCTGGTTGTGAACACCATGAAGGCAGAAAACGAAATAACAAAAGTCATTTTCTGTGCATTAGGCTCCACATATTACATTCAGTCTACAAAGTGAGCTCTGGTGATGGCCAATCGTGAATATTCCCACCAGTAAAAGAGATTGCCCCTGGGGACTACCAAACCTGCTTAAAAGCAGGCTCTGAGAATGAACAGAACACAGTTGTGGCCCTGCGCAGCTGCCAGCCATCACACAGGGTGGTGCTTCTGCTACCACTGCTTCATCGCCCCCACTCAACATAACTGCACATATCAATAACTGTTACGACTTCCTTGCTTGATCAACTACATCAGCTATCCAGCTTTGACTTGTTTACAAGACATTCCCTTTACAGGCCTACCAACATCTGCTGTTACCTCAGCCTGCCTTGACTTGTTTACAAGGCATTCCCTTCATAGTTGACACCACCAACCTCTGCTCCACAGAACATGCCTGCCTCAGCCCTTTTACAAAGCATTCACTTCACAATCAACACCACAACCTCTGTTCCATGGAACAGGGCTACCAAGACCATGCCAATCTGACATCACCTTGGTTCAAAACAACAGGTATACCAACTGACAAGATGACATGAGCAACCAACATGCACCGACCGTATTTTGTGACCTCAGCCATGCTGGCACAAGAAATGGTTCAACTCCTGACACTATGCTTACACCAGATTGCTATTCTACCAACAATAAATGTTGTTTCACTGTAATCCCTGTTATTCCTTTCTCTCTCTCTCTCTACTAAACATTTACTATAACATTCTTTCTTTGTTTTACATTTTTATGCGTCATAAATAATAGTGACAAAATATTTATCTGTTTTTCCTTTAAAATCTGAAGAAAAGAATGCTGTGCTAAATGTGTTTACTTTCATTGAACTAATCCTTTTTTTTTTTTTTTTTTTTGAATAAGGACTTTGCCATTTTTTTTAAATTAATTTTTGTTTAACATTTTATGGCACCCCTAAATATTCTGCGACATACTGGTTAAAAAAAAAAAATTCTCAATGGTTTAAGTTCAGTTAACATGGCAACCACACTATACTCTCAGGTGCCAAATAAATCTCAGGTGCCAAATAAAGGAGGAGAAAAAAATGAACTGATGGAACCTTCTGGATTCTTGCTTTTCAGTCAACTATGACTGTCAAAAATGCAACACGAGTTGTCATCTTCTGTCTTTCTGAATCCTGTTATTCTCCTTTCTTTTTAATGTTTTCTCGGTTTCCTTCACTTTATTGTCTTTCATTCTCAGTAACCATTTGTTAGGCAATGGGAAAATTTTTAACATAAATTATACATACAAGTAAAAATAATATAGAGGAAAAAAATCAAAATAATTTGGGGCCATAAACAGGAGAAAGTCAGTTTATGCTGCAAATATAACAATCTTTCAACTATTAAAAATGACACACATACTAAAACCAAAATTAATGTTAAGGCAATCTTTTATGTTTATCTCGTACTAGAGAAGAAAATACTTGTTTTATTTGGTCGGGCTAGCTTGGACATTCATGGGTCTACCAAGCCAACTATCACGGTCCTGCATCAAGGTTTGGGAGGTCATTAGCTGATCAAAGTAGGTGGTTGTTGGGTGACCAACCTGTCTTGCTCCATGGCTGGGTGTCCAGAGCAGTAGATCATTCATGAGTTCTTGTTTTGCTTGCCAGCAGTGTCCTGCAAAGCACATTCTGCATTTGCATAAGATTGTAAAAATATCACGGATGGATCCATAGAACTATAATTTAATTGGATGTTGTCTCCAAGAGATGTTAAATATATCTCTCAACATCCAAATATAGGTTCCATCAAGCTTAGACTCTAGGGTTTTATTTAATATCCAAGAATTAGCATTAGGCATTAAAACTACCTCTACAGTGGCTTGAAAGAATCTCCGCTTGAGGTTATCTGGTAGATCAGATTTCAAGATTACATCTGTTTTATTCATGGCAGCCCAGGTTTTATCCATGTGAATTTTCACATCAAAGATGTTGGTTTTATAATGTTCTAACAAGATTAATATCAATCTATATCTAACAATAGATATGAACAGATACCTAACGATATCCTAACAATAGATATCTAATATTCTAAAGTCAATATCAATTGATATCCGCTAATATCTAACAGCATCAATATCAATTACTGTCATAAAGCACCATAAGTTATTTTCTAATAGTTTCTTTTCTTTCATTTCTCATGTGTGGAACTCTCTTCTGGCTTCCTGCTTCCCTTTCAACTTAGATCTTCAAAAATTTAAAAGCATTGTTAATCATTATCTGTCTTTTTGAATCCTTTTCTCTTATTGTTATCTTTGTTTCTTTCACTCTCAGTAACTATTCACATCCTAGTGGCCTTTATCGTCTTGCCTGATGTAAAATGATTTTAAAAAAAATACTCTAACAATATCTTGACATCAGTATTCTAATAACTACTCATATCTAACTATATCCTAACTTTACCAATATCAATCAATACCTAATAATGTACATATCAGTCAATATATAATGGTTCCTAACATCAATATCCTAACAATATCAATACGGTATTTTGATGTACACTTTAAATAATTTAAATTTCCTCTGCAAAATTTCTTTGTATCTATTTGATTCCTTTTCTGAATAGTGATAGCATTTCAGTTTTAATCTGAATTGCTTAAGTTGCCTTAAAATTCTAAAGGCTGATAGCTTTATCCATGTTCTCCCATTAATAATGCTTATTAACCCTTATTCCTTTTTTTAATAATCCAAGATTAGCCAACACCATATTTGAAGAATCCCTTTTTTGATGATTAACTAGTCTCAATAAAATCCTCTTAAATTAATATCTTGATTAGATGTCATCCATCTCTGATTCAGTACAGTCAAAAATATAAAGAGATTTTATTATTTTTTTTTAAGTTTTAGCTGGAAACTTTTCAGGATGATGGCACTGTTTATTCTTCATCTACCAAATGATATTGAAAATGTTTAAGGAACTTAAATTTGGATTTTTCCTTTCTATCTGTTGGGGCTTTATTTGGTTCCTATTGATCAACTCTCATATTTTGTCTCAGATATTTGTTTCAGCTAAGTCTCATCATTTTACTATTGAATTGTTAGATGTAACCATAGTTTCTGTTTCTTCCCTTGCACTTCTGACTTGTGGAATTCTCTTTCAGTGTCTTGCTTTCCTATAAACTATGATCTTCAAAAGTTTAAATGCAATGTTAATCATTATTTCCTGTCTTTTTGAAACCTGTTCTTTTATTGTCCTTTCCCTTTAATAACATTTTCTCAGTTTCTTTTACTCTCAGGAACCCCTTGCATCATAGTGGCTTTTTTGCCTTGCTTGGAGTGAAATAATTAACAAAAAAAAAACAAAGAAAAATTCATGATATAATTATCTTTTATGATTCAAGAAGTAAATTCACTCTTTTATTAGTTTAAAAAATATTGATTTTTTTTTTTCATATTTAGTATAATTCCAATATCAATGCTTTTGATGATTAAGATTTAAAAATGCATCCAAGCTTGAAGAAATGAATTGAGTGATATTTTCTGTACTTGGGAAATATCATTGCAATGTGGCATAATTCTTATTTGCATAGAAAATGGAACTGGTTAACTCTGACTAAGGAATTATATGTTTCATTTGCACTAAATGTCTTCTCTCATAATTCTACAATGATCAGAGAAAAAGACTGTATTGAGGTCAGGGATTCTAGTAATCTAGTCAGCCATCAACTGTAAGAACAGATAATGTATGGTTGTCAGCAAGAGAAAAAGCCCAAGATGTAAACCCGAAATTGAAGATATCAACATCAAACAAGTACAGAAGTTTATTTGGGAAGTGTTTTAACAGAGGATGGAAAATGTGACACCAAAATCTGCACATGTATTGGAATAGCAAAAGATGCAAATTACTAAGAAACATGAAAATTTTATTAGAAACAAAGAAAAGTGCTGAGCTGTTATGTAATATCAATCCTCTTCTATGGCAGTAAATGCGGGACAATGGATGGAGAAAAATTGGATTGAACTCATTATTAAGTTTAAATTAAGTTTAATACCCAAAGTTCTCCACAGAGAATTATCCAATGGGATAACAGCCTAGTGGATTAAAGCATTAATTCATAAATTTGGTGACATAGTAATTGTGAGTAAATTACTGAAGATGGCTGGAAAATGGGCCAGTTAAAATGTGAAAAGAATTAATTAAAAAAAAAACACAAAACTAAAAACTTTAGTCACAGCTGCTGCTAAAAGATTGGATCAAATAATTGATACGGCTTTCATGGATAAATGCAAAAGATATTTACAAAGATTCATCAATCATGTGTTTTAGTATAATAAGTCAGAAGAGCTTAATTAAACTACTTGTTTGTTAGGCCATGTACTTTTATAAGTGTGATTTAATTGGATATTTCTTTCTCATTTTGTTATGAATAGTTGAAGACATTTTTATAAACTAAAACTGGATAATGAAAACTTTTTTTTAAAGTTGATGTCTTTTTCTTTTTCAGTGCTTTTGTTTTGAAGAGCAAAGGTTAAATCCTCATGAACAGGTAAGTTTGTTTTCTTAATTTTTTTTTTTTGTCTTTACTTTCACTTAAAACTTGATTCTTTTTTTTTTTGTAAACTATTTAGATAATTTTTCAGTATTGTTACTAAATCATTTTTGAATTGTATAATGTACATATGTACACCTTTATTAATACCCTGTATTAATAAACAAATTACATTACTCACTTGTCTTGGTAAAAATAGAAAAATCATTTTTTATGCCTCATACTGTACATACATACATAATTTGGGCACCTCAGCATGGTGTAATGGTTAGCAAGCTTGTCTCGCTAAAACAGTTACAACAGAATGGTGAGTTCAATCCTCACTGGGTGCCCCATACATTTGGCTTTATGCTACATCTAAGATACGCTTAGAAAAAAGTGATGTAATGGTTAGTGAGCTTGTCTCGCTAGAACAATTACGACTGAGTAGTGAGTTTGATCCTCACTGGGTGCCCCATACTTTCGGCCTTGTGCCATGTCTGAGCTACACTTGCAAAATCAATACATACATAGCCATGCTTTTTTCTTGAGGCAAGACCAAGATTAATCTCACACAGAGCAGGTGACTACTGCTTAACAAAGGATTTGTTATGATGATTTAAGGCAAGATGCTCCAAGACCAAATGCTCTTCTTGACACCAACTTAAACACTCCGTGTAGTCCAAGTACACTGAGTATTTTCATCAAGACACCATCTCTAGGAAGGTTGCTATTCAAGGTTTGAAACCTCTAGCCTTATATATATATAAGGCTAGAGGTTTCCCAATTCCAGTAACTGTTATTGCTCTTTCCAGTATTGACAGGGGGCTTCCTTCCTAACCTTTTTGTTTGAAGTAGTGTTGAATGTAACGTCTTGATTATCATTCTTTTCTCTTTACGTTACATGTGATATGCATTGTTGAAAGTCCTCAGGTGATGTGGTTTTTATTATTTGTATTTGATACTGTTCTTCATTTATGATTCTGTAGCACCAGTTCATGTGGTTTGAAGTATGGTCCCTGCTAAGATGTACATTTTTCATTTACTCAAAACCATTTTTAACCATTGTTTTAAAACAGGATCTTGATCAATAAACTGAGTGACAACACTTCACCAAACAATAGAATATTTTCACCCTGAGGAGAAATTTCAATAAACCTAAATAATGCCTAATGGTTAAATCCACTTTGGCAGGAAGGGAGACAGGCTACTGTCACTGCTAGGAACATTAAGCTGAGGAGCAGGAGTCTAATATCTTCAGAGATTTGTTAGCCAAGAATGGTAAGTTCAGTCCTAGGTAGAACCACAAGAGTCAGTACAGTTAAGACGTTGATCTGAGAAAGTGGTTATATACAGCTGACAATTTAGATATTTCTGAACAAGTCTGTCATGGTTTGTCTATATTTCTGAGATGAGGTATTATGTACAGTATTTACATTAGTCGGACTATTGTCCTCATCTTTGTCGCCATATTTGTCACAGCGTTTACGGCCGTTATGCGCTCCGACCTTCTTCAGGTGGTTGGAATTTCCGAACTGAACCCTTTATTTGATCGCTGGGGTAGACTGTTCTAATTCCCGTGCCATGTTTGATGGATGTCAGTTATCAGTTATCTCCTGCTAATTTTCCCTCTGAAAGTTCTCCACTGCCTTAACCAGGAATTGAACTCACCTGATAACTGATAACTGACATCCATCAAACATGGCACGTGGAATTAGAACAGTCTACCCCAGCGATCGAAATAAAGGGTTCAGTTCGAAATTCCAACCACCTGAAGAAGGCCGGAGCGTACAACGGCCGAAACGTTGTGACAAATATGGCGACAAAGATGAGGACAATAGTCCGACTAATGTAAAGTCTGTCATGATACATGACATACATATGAATCCATATCAATCTGACGAGGCTATTTATGAACATGATTCAAGTTTGTAGGTTAAAGTTTTGGTTTTGTAGTAAAACTCTGAGTTTTGTTTATAACTGAATAAAAAGTAGATTGGTTAGCCTGCCTTTTATCTATATAAAATAATAAAGTTTCTTTGATTTATTTCACTTGTAAGTTATTACTTTTCTCTATATTGAAGTATTTTATTTTTACTCTATCATGTTTGCTCTGTTCATTTTCTTCCTGTTCCTGTCTGTAGTCAGTATAGTTATTGTTGTAAAGACTAATAAGAACAAGAGAGTAAATCTCTCATACAAAAAATTAATTAATACGAGAATGTAAGGGACTGCCTACTTCTCCTCTCTTGGGTGGGTGCTTATATATCTTCCTGTCATTAGTTATGTATGCACATTGTAAGTGCAGCTGGGCTGACTACCTGTTTACATGTTGGGATCAGCCACTAACATCCTGTGAGGTAGAAATCTGTATCTGATATCGAGGAGGTCGTCTTTCATGTCAACATGCTGATGCAACTGGCTTCTCTGATGGTCTAGTGCCACATTGAGTGCAAACTCTTATCATGTGACAATCATAGCAGAGAGAAGATTTGTAGAACCATTTTTTTTTTTTTTTTTTTAAATAAAATCTATTGTGGGAAATTTTTATTTTTTGATATTAAAATCTATTGCTGGAAATTTTGTTTTTTTTACCTTTAAGATCTATTGCTGGAAATTATTTATTTTTTTTTTTAATATTAAAATCTATTGTGGGAAATTTTTACTATAAAAATGTATTTTATACTTTCATAGTGTTTTGACCCCAGTTTCTGGAGTTCACTATTTGTCCATAGCTGGGAGTTTAACAGATGCTACCACTCTGGGTCAGGGTGGACCTGGGAATGACAGCAATTAAAGGTGGTCCCATGCTCCTGAAAACCTCCTGATCAAGAGGCCTTGCTGCTGGATGTATTTTATCCTCATATCAGGATGGGATTTACTGATAACAATTTCAGGTGTATTTATTTCATCCTTGATGTCAGCCATTAACTTGTTTCAAAAGCTAGTTTCTTATTTTACTTTGATCACTGATCATTTTGTTCTTTTAATTCCAAAAAAGACTAATGAAAGAAAAACACTTACTAATAAACAGAAGAGAAATGGTTGATGTCTGAGATTAAAAGGATTGTATGTAAAAACATGAATAATAAAAGTTATATATTTTGTTATTTGGATCAGCATGGTTGCTAGGAAAAAGAACAGCCCAACATGCAAATGACAAATTGGAGATACAAAATCAAGCAAGTACAACAATTTAAATATTTGGGAAGTGTCTTAAAAGAAGACAGAAAGTGACACTCAAATCAGAAGATGCATTAGCATAGCAAATTATGTCTTCCAAAAACTAAGCAAAGTATTAAGAAATAGAAAAATTTGTTAGAAACAAAGAAAAAGAGTACCCAACTGTTATGTAATACCAGTCCTCCTATATGGCAGTGACTGTTGGACAATTTCATCAAAGATGAAGAAGAGACTTGAAGCAATGGAGATGGCATTCTGCAGAAGAATGATGAGAATACTATGGACTGAACATGTGAGCAACAATGAGATTTTAGAAGGAAAAGAAACCAAAAGGACACTTATATTTAGAATCAGAAAGAAATTTGAAATTTCTAGGGCAGATAAGGATGAAAGAGGACTTGGAAAACATGAAGAAATTGTTTAGTTTCGGTTAATATTAGTACTTTTTTTTTTAATTAGTTATATTAAGATGGATCTCTAATAATACTAATATTACTAGTTTATTCATGTTGTAAAAAATGACTGCATATTTTATGTATTTATTATTATTAGAGGATTTTCTCAAACGCGTTTTTGAAATAAGTAGTACTTGTCAGGAAGAGACAATTGAAATTTCTCGGACACATAATGAAGAAAGAAGATGTGGAAGATTTGATACTCACAGGACAGACTGAAGGCAAAAGATAGAAAAACAATGGGTAACCTACCTAATAAATGGATAGCAGAACAAGGTTTAGGAGAGATAACAAAGAGACAAAATTTATTAAGAGCTACAAAGGACAGGAAATTGTGGAGAGCCATGATCGTCTACATTCTGAAGGGACACAGCAGAGAGAAGATTTGAACAAGCATGCTCAACTTGTTGGTTATATTTAATATTTGGATAAATTCTAGATGTGGACAATGGGATGAGAATAATATACCCCTGTAGATTGAATAATGGGTTGAATTTGAAATACCCTGAAGGTTTAATCTGAAGAAGGCTAGAGGTCAGAAGGGATGAAATGTTGTCATGGTAACAACAGAGATAAAAACATTAGTCCAACTGTAAATAATGCTTCAGAATATTATTTGTGCTATTCGCATGTGGACTATTGTCCTCATTTTATTGTTGTTATCAGAGCGTTTCGGCTGTTACTGCCAGATTTTGGGTATGTTGAACAAAAGCACAATGACAGAATAAACACCACCTGTCAATGTTGCTTTATGTGTGTGTGGTTAGAAAGATCAACTTGAGGATTTTTCTGTCTGGGTAGGCAAGTAAAAATGATGACTTTGCTGGACATTTTGCCATGGGATCCATTATTATAGAAAATGAGTGATCTTTTAAAAGCCTGCACCAGAAATTAGATTCTTTTTATTCCTCTCAGTTTCATCTGAGTTCTACTTAGTACAGTTCTTATCTAAAAAAAATATAATTGGTCTATTTTTTTTCTTCTTCTGAATGCCAAGGATTTGGGATGGAGTTCCAGGGAGTTTGTAGAGTGCAGGGGGTAAAGAATTAGTTCAACCCAAATCAGACATCCCTTCGTCAAAAAGTTGGAAGAAATTCAAGCCTAACCCCACCATGAATCTGTGGCTAGTTGAGTCATCCTTTGGGATTGGAACTTCCTCAAAATTCATAACTGACACTACCATTTTGTCTCGATCAGATAACACACATGTACATACACATGCCATCCATTAATCAGTTTTTGGACATTTTTAATTACTACTAGTTTTAATTTATAAAAGCATTTTCACACCCATATCTACCCCTCCATCTCTTTGTTAGAATTCTATAATAGTAGCAAGTAGTTGGTGTTCAAATTTTTAAATATGTCTTTGGTATGGTTCAACTATATATCAAAGTGACAGGAAAAAGTATACTTAGCCAACATGTTTTATCCTCTGAGGGACTGTATCATTGCAATCAGTGGATGAAATGCATCATCTAAGTATAGTTTTCCTTCTTTTTTTATTCATCTTGTCTCTTCTACAGATGCAGTCTATATATATATATATATATATATATATATATATATATATATATATATATATATATATATATATAGTTTTAATGTATGCTGTATTTATTGGTAAAAGTGCTCAATATCAGGTATAGAGTGTATATAAATATAAAATTGTACACTGAGATCAACACTGAGCAGCAACAGTCTATTTCATGCTTGAAAGCAATTTTCAGGCCATTTTATATATATATATATATATCGTGTGAGCATAAAACTCGGGTTACAATTAGAGCCATCCTTTCATAGGAATTAATGTTCTCAAGTGTTTTTGCTCTGCCTAATATATATATATATATATATATATATATATATATAAATAAAAAGAAAGAACAGTAAGACATATAATCCGGTGTTCTTATAGATATTTTTATTTTTACAAAATAGTGCTCGATGTAAATTTACAGAGCATTAATATTATAAATTGATTTAAAATATGTTTTTTTTTCACTACACAGTTCTAACCATGTTTCAAAAATGGAAGCTAAAAGCCCCAAATTTAATTTTGTAATTAAATTAAAGACATTAGTTCCATTTCATCCTCAACTAATGTCTTTAATTTAATTACAAAATTAAATTCGGGGCTTTTAGCTTCCATTTTTGAAACATGGTTAGAACTGTGTAGCGAAAATAACCATATTTTAAATCAGTTAATTTATAATATATATAAATTAAACAAAAAGTTACTTTTGAGATACTGTTTTTGTATTTATAAAATTCTTTGTTACACTAAATATATCAGTACTTTGTTTTTTCATAAAATTTCAGAGGTTGCAGGTATGTGTGGTGAGGGACTCTTCTTGCAACCCTGCATTACTTATGAATATTATCTCCCCACTCTTGTGTATATGCCCCCTCCCAGCTACAGTGTTTAGTTCTCAGTTTCAATCATGATTGTTTTAATTGTTGACATAGCAGGATGTGACAATGCAAGTCCAAAATTCAAACACATGTTGTTTACTAAAGACCACTAGATTCAATATATTCTCAAGGAAGATTGAATACTTACTTTCCACTCTTGATAGAGATCAAAAGTGTCTCTGAGTCTTTGAAGGAGAGAAATTATTTTCCATTTTCTATCTCACAGGTAAGATGTGGCAAGCCTCTCCCTGCTCTATCGCTACTTTCATGGAAATTGCTTGGACGAACTACATTCTTTGGTTCCACCCATTCTAACCTTCATAGCAAGGACCCACCATGCCACTTACATAGTATCAAAGCAGCCACATTCTCTCTGTGTTTCATTGGTGAGAAGTTCCATTCAGATAGCTTCTTCATGCAAACCACTGCTCTGTGGAACAGACCCAAGATGATGTTTCCCTGATCACTACAATCTTAAGTCTAGAGTTAACCATTTCATTATCTTCCTCTCCTATTCATTTAAACTACCCCTTAATGTAACCTTCTACTTCGAGTGGCTGCCTGGACCTTGTACAGGGTGAACTTTACTGTAGAAAAAAAAAAAAAAGAATAAAAATATTGAAAGCTTATAAAAACAATAAAGGGGAAGTTACTAATCTGAATAAAGCATGGAATAATGAAAATGCTGCATTTCAAAACTTGAGATAACAGTAATTGAAAGCAAATCTTTGAAAGAGTTATCACCTCTGTTTTAGTGCTGTATACAGTAAATCAATATTTGATTAATTGATCAGAAAATCTTATTGATTATTTGTCAATGCATTTATTCTTATGTTCAGGACTAGAAGTGACTTGTGTTGTTTATTTGTAAGGAAAGCAATAAAGAGAAATTCAGTCAGTCAGAAATGAAACAAGAAAATATGAACCAAATTGAGGAGAAAAGCATCTAAATAAATATCAACTTATAAATTGCAAGAAGTTGGGATTCAAATTCATATGACGAAAAATAAAATCTCTTGCTCTTTTTTTGTATGAATAAGCAACATACATCATTTCTTATCATTTTTGTCTTAATGGCCATATTCCATTGA